CCCACCCACAAGCATCCCACCCTCATGACCTAATCACCTCCCAAAGGCCCCACCTTGTAATACCATCACACTGGACTTTAGGTTATTAACATATGAGGGGGGGATGGGGCGGGGGGTGCACCACCATTCAGACCACAGCAACTAGTAATGCCTGCTAGAATTCCAGATGACCTGGAAGGCCTGCCCCAGGCTCCATCCGGCCTCAGGCGAGTTGGAAGGGGGCATGGTCAGAACCCCCAGAAGGTCAAGGTGGATGTGAAGACCTGGCCACAAAGCAGGGCCAGGGTGGTGACCAGCGCGGGGAGGAATGTGACTGGCTGCCCAGGCCAGCCATGATGTGTTTTCTGGCAAGGGGGAGTGCTGGGTTCTGGTTAGAGCTCACCAAGCATCTCCAAAAACTGAGAGCAAATCCCCAGGAAAGACTGCCTCAGGACAATCAAGGGCTTTCTGACAATTAGCTTCCAGCGCTCTCCCTGCCCCAGTTTTTCCTCCTTGAAGATTCTGATATTTAATAGAAATCCATTAGTGTCCCGTGATGGTGCCTCACGCTTAGATATAGGTTGGGAGCATCTGGGTAATAGCTGACACCAAAACCGCACTGTGGCACAGGCCCCAGGGGGGAGGAACTATTTTTTCCTCTTTCTTACATAAAACGTCTTTCCAGCTAGCCATGTTCTCCTTTGAATTGAGGCTGCCTCTGACTTTGATTTCAAAACCACTAACCTTCCTCGGCACAGTGGGTGTAAGAGAAGGGGGTGCTGGTGCTGCAGCCCACCCTGCTCACCACCAGGGAAACTGAGGTCGGCAGGGGAGCTGCAGGAAACGCCGTGAGAGGACAGCCAGCCACCACTGTGGCTCTTCAGTTCAGTTCCAGAAACATCCAGTGAGTGCCTACTATGTGCCAGGCCCTGTGCTCAGGTCTGGGTCTCAGGCCGTCGCATCAGGTCATACCAGGCGGAGGAGACAGACGTGTGGGGTGCGTGTGCTAGGACTCAGGCCTGACGCCCTTGAACCGCTGTTTCTATGGCATCATCACCTCTGGAAAGCCTTCCTGAATCGCCTTGTGCGTCTATCTAGGAGGGAGTTAGACATGCAGTTCTGAAGTTCAGGAGCAGGCTCTGGGCTGAAGATCAAGGTCCAGGAGTCACCATTTGGGGTCCTTGCCCAGAGAATTGCCACAGGATGCTGCAAGAAGGGGGCGCACCGTAGTGGGTCAGGGCAGTTGGATAGAAATAGCAAGTGTAGACAGCTCTGGGCCAGAAAAGTTAAGAGCATGATGGGGTTGCAGGGCAAGAAGGACTTGATGTACTCATGTATTTACAGGTGGGGAGGGACTTGAACATTTATAAAAGCTCAAGGGAAGGAGGCAGTAGAGACGCTGACATCCATGTGTTTCGCCATCATCGATTACGGGCGTGATGCGCCAGGGCTGGGGAGACAGCCGTGATGAGGGCAGGCAGGGAAACTGCTCCCCTGTAGCTCATGTTCCTGTGGGGAAGAGCCAGAGAGGAAGTGGACAAATCTATAAACAAGCTATCTGGGCATAACGATCAAGGAGGTGAAGAAATAAACAGGGAGATGAGAGAGAGATGGGGGCCATTTGGCCAGGATGGTCAAGAAGCGTCCTCAAGGAGGTGACTTTTGAGCGGAGAGCCACGTGACAAGTAGGTGGCAGGAAGAGAAGGTGGGGACAGGTGGGGCAGAGGGGTGTCTGTGGACTGGAGGGTTGACCTTGACCAGGAAGTGGGGAGCTCTTGGTTCTCGGGCGGCAGAGGGTTGTGGGGAAGGATGCTGTCTGTGGGTGTCTGGAGGTGGCTGGAAGGTGGGAAAGGTGGTAGTGGACAGCCCCAGCTCTGGCTGAGGCTGCGCCTGCACTCCCCTAACAGAGATGCGTGGCAAACTCACAGGCTTGCTCTGCCACCCAGCCTCCCACCTCTGCTTCAGGGTCAGCTCAGGTTGTCAGTGTCCAGACACACCTCAGACCCCTGACCATGAAGGGAGGGTTCTCGTGGAGTATGGACAGACCATGGCTAACTGCTACATTAAAAAAGAAGTGTTTGGGGGCACCTGGGTGACCCAGTTAAGCGTCTGACTTTGGCTCAGCTCATGATCTCATGGTTCTTGGGTTCGAGCCCTGCGACTGGCTCTGTGCTGATGGCTCAGAGCCTGGAGTCTGCTTCAGATTCTGTGTTTCCCTCTCTCTCTGCCCCTGCCCCACTCACACTCTGTTTGTCTCTCTCTCTCAAGAACAAATAAACATTTTTAAAAATTAAAAAAAAAAAGCCACCTCACTCTTGTGATTCCATTCACAAGAAGTATCCAGTGTAAACAAATCCGTGGACACAGAAAACAGATTAGTGGCTGCCACCTGGCTGGGGGAAAGCGGCCGAGGGAGTGAGTACTTCGTGGGCATAGAGTTTCCATTTGGGGGGATATGAAAATGTTCTGGAACTGGATGGTGGTGATGCTTAAACCATGTTGTGAATGTACTTAATGCCACTGAATCGTACACATTAAAATGGTCACAATGGTAAATTGTATGTTACGTGCATTTTTACTACAGTAAAAAATAAAGGGAGAAATGATAACATGCACTCTTTTTCCTGACTGTATAAACCATATAAACTGTAGAGAAAATGGAAACCACTGACTTATTTAAAAAATCCAGATCACTCTAAAACTTAGTGCCTATTTCCAATTCATAGGTATATGCGTAATTGTATATGTATAAAAATGTAACACTGCATATCCCATTTGTAACCTGTTTTTTTCACTTGCCTGTTTATCACATTTTCCTGTATATTTTATAACAGCTTCATTGAGCTATATCCACATGTCATACAATCTACTCATTTAAAGTGTGCAATTCAGTGGTTTTGGATACAGTCACAGATTTATGCAACCATCACCAGGATCAGTTTTATTTGTTTATGTTTGTTTAGTTTGGAGAGAGAGAGAGACAAAATGTAAGCAGGGGAGGGGCAGAGAGAGAGGGAGACACAGAATCCAAAACAGGCTCCAGGCTTCCAGCTGTCAGCACAGGGCTCGAACCCAGGAACCGTGAGATCATGACCTGAGCCGAAGTTGGATGCTTAACCGACTAAGCCACCCAGGCACCACCACGATCAATTTTAGGACACTCTAGTTACCCCACCAAAAGAACCTCCACAGACTTAGCCATCACTCTCCATTTCATGGTTTTTTTTTTTAAATGTTTATTTACTTTTGAGAGAGACAGAGACAGAATGAGAGTGGGTTAGGGGCAGAGAGAGAGGGAGACACAGAATCTGAAGTAGGCTCCAGTCCCTAAGCTGTCAGCACAGAGCCTGACACGGGGCTCGAACTCACAAGCTGTGAGATCATGACCTGAGCCGAAGTCGGACGCTCAACTGACTGAGTCCCCCAGGCGCCCCTCCATTTCATGGTTTTAAATAAAGATCTTCAGCACCATTTTTTCTGACCAAATAGTCCCACCTTACATCAAATGCAAGATGCCTGTTTTATTGACCATCAACAGAGAAAAACCTGTGCCAGTTAACCCATGACCCATATTTCCTTATTACTTACTCATCATTTAGTTTAGTAGTCATCGAAGGAGAATCTCTAGACTCATTTGGAACATAGTTAGTACCCGCGATGCACGTAAGTCAGTTCAAGCAACGCGGTGAACATCTATGACCACATCCATATACATGCGCAGGAACAGCAATTAGCCATGACATACATCCTGATTTCAGAGATGCTCGCCCCCAGAACCAACGATGTCCAGTACCACAGGGTATCAGGTGAACTTGGCTCTCCAACAACAGAAGTTGACTGTGCTGACTTGGGCAGGAGAAACGGATCGGGGGGGGGAGGAACGGTTCACAGAGTCGGCACTGGAGATCCAGCCTTAGAAGCGGGACAGGACCAGCAACCTGAGGTCCAGCTGTCCTAAACCACCCAGTTAGGACAAGTCCGCTCAGGGTGCGCTGCGGGGCTTTGTCACCACCCTGAGCAAGCTTTGCTGTCCCCCTGTCTCTGCATCATCTTTTCAAGAGGCAAAACCCTGGACAAGAGCCTCCAACTGCCCAAAGCTACCCTTGGCTGCCCCATAACTGCCAGAGTCTTGCCTCCCACGTGGTTTGGGGTTTCCCCCTTTCTTGGCCAAATAGCCAGGACTACAACTACCCCCCCCCCACACCAAATGGATGTGCTACAGTTATTTATCCAGTATTATCAGGATTTCTGTATTGCTTCCAATGTCTCCATGAACAATGCAGAGTGAACCTCTTCACTCATAAATCTTTGTGCATAGTCTTGTCTTTCAGGACAGATCTAGGATCCATTTCTAGATCACTGGGTAAAGTCCTGGTGCATTTTTAGGCTCTGAACACACTTACCAAGCTTCCCTCCAGAAACATGGTGCCCGTTTGCATGCCCCTTTCCAACGGCTGCATGGACTCCTCTGAGTAGATGTACCTTGATTGGTACCAGCTGGTTTGGACACAAAGCAGAAGAAAACAGAAGTCCAGAGAGAGCACTGGAGGAGTCCAAATTCAGGGCTAGGCACACACCCCGGGGCTTTTTTGTGGTGCCAGAATGTTCCCTGTGGGATCTCTCAGCGAACCGTGTGGTGGCAGGGAGTATAGTGTTATAATAATAGTAACTAGCAATTATTGAGTGCCTGGCACATTTTAAAGCTCTTGTATCGATTCCTTTGATCCTTACAATACTCAGCGGAAGGGCGGTCTCTGGGTTCGAGTCCTGACCCCGTGGCCTTGGGCAAATCAACCCCACCTCTACCAGCTTCCGTTTGCTTAGATGTCAATGAGGATATCAGCCCTGCCACCTTGTATGGCTGCCGTGAGGCTGGAAATGACGTGACTTGGGTAAAGAGCTCACGACGGAGCTCAGGCAGTGCTCCAACTGTCCTGCGGAGGGAAATTGAGGGAGGCGCCGGAGGCGAGCAGTATTCTGTTCTGGGTCCCTGTGGTCGTTCACCAGACCCTTCCTTGCAGGTGGATGAGATCCTGGGGGACCAGCCAACCGCCAAGGAACGGGTGTTCGCTGCCCTGAAGCAGTTTGCGGCACAGCAGCGAGTTGATGACCTGGTGTGGGCGCTCACCCTGGTGCTGCCCAGAGAGGCCCGTGCACCACTCATGGACAACCTCAGGTACCTTCGTTGGGGGAGGACTGGGCAGGCAGAGTGTGTCTTGCTTAGAGATGTCCTCTGTTCTGCCACTGCCCCAGGCGCTATGCTGTGCATCCTGCCACGGAACTGAACCCCAACACTGACCCACTCGCAGGGTGGGCCGGTGGCCTGAAGGCCGACCCTGGGAAGGGCGGCTGTTGGCTCTGCTGGGTGCCAGGGCATCACTGTGTACGAGTCGGGATGGCTGCTGGATGCTGGGCTGGGACAGGCTGCAGAGAGGACCCATCTCCTGCAGGAAGGACGCCCCGTGCTACAAACAGTGTGTGCTCTGTGCCCTCTGATGATGCCAGCTGTGCGCCAGGGGCCTCACCAGGGCCCTAGAGAAACACTCTCTGGCTGAATCACCCCAGCACTATTATTATGCCCATTTCTCAGAGTCAGACTGAGGCTCAGAGAGGTTAAGAGGCTGGCCCAATAGTCACACAGCAAATGAGTGCTGTCACAGGACCATGAACCCATCAGCTGTGCACTTTCTGTTATGCTCAGCTTTGGACCCTGTCAGTTTATCCTTTAGGAAAAAAATTTCCTGGTGGGTTTACACCTGGCGTGGCCCCTGAGTCTTCTGAGCCCCCCACACCCACCCCCTTTCCCACCAGGGCATCACAGCCCTGCACAGCACAGCTTTGATCAGGCCCCCTCCGAGTGATGCCTGATGCCTTCCCTGCCGGGATCCCAGGGGGTCTTTCTCTCCTCACCCTGCCTCCAGGGCCTGCGATGGCTCCCCCCTCCCCCTTCCTGGGCTCAGCCCGCCCCCTCCCCTTGCTGCCATTCACCCCACAGCCTGCCCCTCCCTCTGGGCCTGGCCAATGTCAGGGACAGGGCTGGCCACCCCCCCCCACCAAGCCCGGGCGCAGCGTCTCGGCTCTGCAGCGGAGCACAGAAGGCCACCGAAAGAGGCCACCATGAGCTGCCTGGGGTGAGTTAGGGGCCTGCCCCTTGCTAGGAAAATCCAAAGAGAGGGAAAAAAAAAAGTTATTTCTACAGCCTAATTTTCAGCGGATGATGTGGATGATGCGCTGGCGCTGAGGGCTCCCTGGGGAGGTGATGGATGGGCAGCCCCCCACCCCGCCCATCTCCACCAGGGCTGGGTTAGGGGCGAGGGCGGCTCGCCGTCCCCTGGGAAGTTGGCACACTTGTGTCGAGGCTGCTAGCAGCTGGGCTCAGCTGGCCCTCTGGGTCCCCCTCGTCTCCCTTCGGAGCTGCCCCGGCTTCCGTCTCTGTCGCCTCTGTCTCCCGGGACAGCCTGTCTGCCTCCCTGAGCCTGCTTTCCCGTTCGTTAGTCCCCAGGCGACCGGCAGTGGGTCAGGAAGAGCCGGGGTGGGGGAGGCGCCCCCTTGGGCGTGCTTGGTTTAGAGCCCGGGGAAGTGGGAACCCTGGACAGCCGGGGGTGCCCGGTCCCCGCAGCATCCCCGGGGCGCTGCTGGGGAGGATGAACCGGCAGCTCTCTTGTCAGCGATTGTCAAGTTCGACAGGAAAATTGGGGAGGATGCTGGCAGAGGGGGCGGCGCCCAGCTGGGCTCTGCAGGGAGAGGGGTACCTTGGCAGCGTGTGGCCTCAGCCGCCCCCACCCCCATCTCCTTACCGTCCACCTCCCCACCCCCACTCCCAGGCTCTGTTGGCCCACACGCTGGGTTCCAGGGTTGCGGCAGTCCTCCCCGTGCAGCACCTTCTATGGGAGAGCTCACAGGGGGTATGGAGGAGCCACAGATACAGTTACCTGTGATTCTGAGGGCTGAGTGCCAGCAGCCCAGGGCTAACTCAGCAGGGCGCAATCAGGACAGGCTCCCTGGAGGAGGCAGCAGGTGCCCCTGCTGTGGCTCAGTGACCCTCCGAGTCTGGCAGTATGTCCTATGGGGGTGGGAAGACAGCCCCCTAGAAGATTTCATCAGGGCCAGGCATGTAGCCACAGAAGTGGACCCTGCCAAGGCGAGGGTGGTGCCGCTCAGTACCCAACACTGGGCACCCAACAGTACCCGGCCGTGAACCACCTTGCTGGGGTGGGTGGCCACAAAGAGCCACCGCTGCAGCCTTGGGATGTCCCATTGGGGAGAGACAAGGTTTAAATGAGAGATTGAGCAGCGAGCGGTAGGTGAACCTGTGTGTGTGTGTGTGTGTGTGTGTGTGTGTGTGTGTGTGTGTGAGAGAGAGAGAGAGAGAGAGAGAGAGAGAGAGAGAGCGAGCTTGGCAGAGGCTGGAACCCACCCCAATCACCGTGTGACCTCTGAGGGGTGGTCCCAGGGGCCAGATCAGAAGGCTTGGGGAGAAAGCAGAGGGAGCGGTGAGATCATGGAGCACAGCAGCCACATGTGCTTTTTTAAAAGTTAAATTTAATGATTATTAAATAAAATTTAAAATTCAGCCTCTCCGGCTCGCTGGGCCCATTTCGAGTGCCCAGTAGCCACGTATGACTAGTGGCTCCCGTGCGGGACAGTGCGCATTTAGAACGTGTCCATCGCCGCAGAAAGTTCTCCTGGTCGGTGCTGCCATGAGGGTAAGATCTGGGTCAGCGGTGGTAACATAGGCCAAGGGGTTCGTTCTGCAGCTCAGAGCCTAATGTGGATCTATCCCCAAAGGGATCCCAGTTTGATGAAGTGATAAAATGACTTTCTAATTAGGACGGGCCAGGCAGTTTGGGAAGTGTGACGTAGTCAGGAGGGAGCAGGGGAGCGAAGGTGGCTTTGTAGTCTGCTGTGTTCCAGGGGATCTAGAAGGAGCCGGAGGGGCAGCTGGGTGAGAGGAGAGGGAAGCAAAAGCCGTGATGGAGGAAGCTGGGATCTGGAACCCCAACAGACCTAGCTTGAACCCCCGGGTCCACTCACTGGCCATGCAGCCTTGGGCAGGATGACTGGCCTCTACAGTTTGTCTGAAGAATGGGGCTGCCAACCCTTACGTGTTCCCAGCAGGGCTCTTGGTAGGAAATCACATAAATGAAGTGTGCCAGCTACAAGCAAGGAAGAGATCGGTTGAGAATCTGGGGTGAGGGGACACCTGCACCCCACTTCATCCTCTTCTGCTTTAATGACAAATGTCCGAGGCACCATAATGCCAAGCGATTGGGAGAATTCTTATGAAACTGAGCAGAAGTACAAGGGACGTAGTATGTGCTCAGTTAGTGTGGGCTTCCCCTGGGGAAGATCTCTTTCTTCCTGGCACTGTTGGCATTTGGGGCCCAATAATTCTCTGTGGCGGGGGGTGGGGGTGCTGTATGTGGTCGGATGCCCACAGCATCTCTGGCCTCCACCCACTAGGTGCCAATAGCACACTTTCCTCCCAATTGTCACTTTGTGACAGCCCAGATTGTCTCCAGACAGTGCCAAATGTCCCCTGGGGGGCAAAATCACTCCCCAGTTGACAACCGCTGTCCTAGAGTGATGTGCCTTTAGTAGCATCCTCTCGTGGGGCAGGCTCTGCAGCAAAGGCCAGCTGTCGGCTGACCCCTGCCCTCACCCCCCACCATGTCGTCTTGGGCTATCTGGCCAGGTGCAGATATGATCCCCCTCTGATGCCTTCACTGTGCGCTGGGCTGCTGGGGCAGAGGGGCGGCATGTGCCGTGGACAGACAGGGGCGGGGACAGGGGACGACAGTGACGCCTGGCCCCAAGGCGGTGTGTACACTTGCGCCTGTGTCTGGCATTTGCCCTGTGTTCACACCTTCTCTGCCCACAGCAAGGTGGACCGACCGTCTTCATGGCCTTCGGGCAGGCCTGGTTCTGGATGCTGGGCCATTGCACCTGGAGCCAAACAGAAACAGCTCATGATGGGACAGCGGTGGCCCTGCAGGTGTCAGGGAGCTGTATTGACTCTGGAGGTTTTCAGGCTTTTCTGTCCCTGGCAGGGCTGAGGACAAGGCCTGGGAGGATGCCGCATGAGTGCTGGCTCCGGCTTCCCGCTGCTGCTGCTGCTGCTAATGCTGCTGCTGCTGCTGCGGGAAGAGAAGCAGGCCTGGTTGATAACAGGAGGGCAGCGGCCTCACTGGGGCCAGGAACGTGGGGCTGCGGGTGGACTGGGCAGCATGGTCTGAACCGAGTACCAGGTCTGACCATGCAGTCCTGCAGGGGCCTCCCTGTGACCGGCTGCGGAGCCCCTAGGCAGGACCACATAAGATGTTCCTTCCTCCCAGTGACTGACACAGAGCTATAGACGAGGGGGTTTCTGCCTCTGCAGTGCCAGTCTCTCTGGGTAGTGGCCACCTCGTGGTGAGGAGACGGCTTTCTGTTGATGTCCCCTAAGGAGCCCTCAAGATGTCCTGTGTCTATGTTTCCTGAGGCCGAGCAGGACTTGATCAGCCAGAAATGACCATGCAGTGGATTCTCTGGGGCCAGTTCCTGCTCTGACTCCCAGGGAGTAGCAGGCCCAGAGCCAGAGAAGGGTCCAGAGCCCCTTTCTTGTTAACTCCCACTTCTCCCCTTAGCTGTTCCTCCGATTCTCTCCCAACAGGAGGCCGGCTGGCCTCCTGAGCCTCACTTGGGAGTTGCCCCAGCCTGGCCGCCCCTCCTCACTTCCCCTCACTCACCAGATCTCACGTACTCTCCTTCCTCTGTGTTTTTAGAACCTAGCCACTTACCCCACCCCACACCCTTCCCTGTTCCCCTCCCAGCCTCACCCAGTCCCCTGGTGCACCAAAACCTCTGGGGTCCCTCCGCCTCTCCTTAAATCCTGAGACAGACCCTCCCCTGGCTCCTCGCGGTTCTCAGTGTTCAGTCTCAGACGCTGACAATGGCGTTCAAGGCCTCCCTCTCTAGCCTCTTGATTAGCGCTTCTCTCCGGGGTAGGTGAGAAGGGCTTCCCCGCGCTGACCCACTCCTTGAAGCCTAACGCTAAGACCACCCTCTCCGGAAAGACTTCCCGTCCTCTACAAAAGAAAGTCGGGAGCTTCTCCCGAACTGTGGGGTTCAGTCTCGCCGCAGCCAGGTGCAGGGGGCCTGGGCGCCAGGGCCCGAGGGGCTGGAGGCGAGGCACCTGGGGAGGGACTGAAGAAGCCGGCCGAGAGGAAGCAGCGTTGACAGCCCCGAACCTCCCCCCAGATCCCCCGGAGCTAGCGGAAGGGTCCCCCGTGGGGGCGGGGCGGGGCGGGGCCACCCGAGAAGGGGCGGGAGCGGAGCCGCGGGCCCGGGCGGCTCGGGAGGGGCCGAGTGCGCTCGCCCGGCAGAGGCTCGTGGAGTCGCGGCGCCCTCGCTCCGCTCGCGGGCTCGGCCACCCCTACCTGTCGGCACCTGCCGCGCCGCCGCCGCCGCCGCCGGCTCCAGATGGGGAAGGACCAGGGCTTCTCTCGGCACTTTCGGTAGTTTCCCCCCCGCGCCCCGCGCCCCCGGGAACTGTGCGCCCTGGGCGCGGCGCACCCCCCTCGGGCGGCCTGAGAAGGGGTGGGGCTGGGGCACTGAGGTGGACACCCACCCGGCACACGGGGGCGAGTTCCCCGCGTTGGGTGCCTGGAACCTGCCTGCGCCTCTAGGGGTCGGGATGGGGGTGGGGGAAAACCAAGGGCTGAGACTGAAAAGCCCTCTCTCCTTCCTACGATTGGGCAGATGGAGAGAACTGGCCAGAGAGCCATGTCAGGGAATGTGGTGGAGAGAGAGGACCCTAGGGCAACCCCTAGGAGGAACCTGGAGATGGATTTACACCTGACCCCCCAGGCAGAGAGAACAGAACTGACTGACTGAAGTTGTGTGGCCAGGGAAGAGTCCTGTGGTCTCAGAGAAGCCCGTTGGCATAGCAGGGATCTGGGAGTCCTGGGGCAGCCATACCCACAGAGTCAGAGGAGCAGTGGTCCATGAGGCTTCAATGCGCCTGGCTGTCCTGGGTTAGTGGATTCAGAACAGACCCAGGGCAGGGGTACCTGGCCAGACTGAGCCTCATGGAGGCCGACACAGTCAGGAAGGGCATCTGGTTCACAGATGCCTCTGGCCTCTGGCTTAGCCCTGAGGACACCAAGCAGGGAAAAGGCCACCAATCTTTTCCCACCTGTGCAGTTGGTGACTCACTGTGGTTACCACCCCGGGGGGCGCAAGGCCTTTTCTAATTGCTGCTGGAGGGTGGAGCTGGGTGGTCATCTGGCCCATGCCCAGGTTCGACCTAGGGGCTGGGGGAGCGGGGCCGATGCCCTCTGGAGCCTGGGGCTGGAGCCCCAAGTGGGAGGTGGACAACTTCCCACTTGTCATCCCTCTGCTTGAGCTTGAGACATGTGGTGGGTCTGGGAGGGTGTGGGGAATGTGCAGGCCAGGCAGATGGAAGTGTCAGGCTCCGGAGACCTTGAGTGACCATCTGGGGAATGAGGCCGAGGCTCTATATTTTCGGGAATCGCTGTGGATGAGCAAGGATCAGGCCAGGATGCTCCTGGAAGAGTTGAGTAGGCCTTTCATCTTGGCCTCCTGGTCGCCTGAAACATTCAGAGGTTGGGGGGGGGGAGGGGGCGGGCAGCCCTGATGCCCCCTCCTCCTGGAGGATTCACATCCCTTCCTTCCTATCGGCCAGCTTATTCTGCTTGCCTGGTCTTCTTAATCCTACCCATAGAGTTTGGGGGAAACAGGGTGGGGGCCACTGGACAACCTCAGAGGGATTATATTTCAGCTGGCTGCAAAGCCACTGTTCCCTTCTTCCTCCCTCCTCCCCACCATGCCCTTGGCACTGGCTCCTGGTACAAAGAACATGGAAGGGAGCCTTGGGATGCAGCCAGGGAGTCCTCACTAGCAACCAGAACCTCGGAGTCCCTCGGCAGAGTCCTGCCACAGAGCTGAGGCTCAGAGGCCAGCCTTGGGTCCAAGCTGTGCCGGGGGCCAGCTGTGTAAGCCTGGAAAGTTACAGATCTTCTCTGAGCCTCCAGATCCTGTCCACCAGGGTGCTAACTGCTGCCATTACTCGGAGGTGTGGTTGGGCTGCTGGTGGACCCCTGTTTACTGAGTCACTGGGTCCCTCCCCTGTGCCAAACCCTGACTGGTCACTGTGGCCCTCAGCCAAGCCACAGACCTAGCCCTCAGAGAGCTTCCAGCTTTGCAGAAGACATCCACAGCTACCAAGGAAATCAGCCCAGGGTGTGGATCTCACACGGGGAGGCCATCCAAGCCTCCCCACTGCCTCTCACCACTTCCAGGTGGCTTCTCTGGGGGCAGGGACCACGGTGCTGTCAGCTCTGAACCTGAGTGCCTGGCTGGCTCAGGTAGCAGGGTCTCACTGTATGTCACATGTTGGATTAAACTGAAGGAAGGCCAGCGTTGGGTGCTGAGGGTCGAGCCCATCGTAGCTAGGAAACAGAGGGTACCAGGCAGGGGCAACAGCCTGGGCAAAAGTGTAAAAGGTAGGACTGGATGTGGGAGTCCTGGCAAGTTCTGAGGAGGCAGGTGTAGAAAGGACTGGCCTGAGAAGCGAGCAGGAGGACGGGGAGTGTAAGGAGGGTCTGGGGAGAGTCTGACCCCGGGGCAGATTGTGGCTTCAGTTTTCTCCTGCGGAGTTGCCTGGAATCAGGTAAGAAGAAGATGAGTGGTGGGGGGATCCCCGGCTGGGGTTTGGCCTGGCAGGTGCAAGGGCATGAAACGAGGGAGTTAGGGAAGAGGTCAGAAACGGGAAGACAGAGGCAGGAAGGGGAACAGGACCATGAACGCGCTCTGGGAGCGCTGAGGTCCCTCAAGGCCAGAGTAGCGGGGACAGTCGGAATGTGACTTTCCGGCGGTGGAGCGAGCCAGGCGAGAGCCGGGCGCCGTGGCTCTTGTGTGGCGCAGGCCGGTTGGGGCGCAAGTCCCGGCCGCGAGGGGGAGAGTGGGGCGCGGGCTACTGATTCCCCGGTTACCCCTGGGGTAGGGGCGGGAGAGCCCGTGGCGGCGCCCGCGAGAAGGAGCCTTTAGGACGCGCCTTGCCGCGACCGGGGCGCTGTCTGGGGACGCGCCCCGACTCTGCGGCCCTCGCCCGCAGGATCTTCATCCCCAAGAAGCACCGGGCGCGCTTCGACGAGGTGGTGTCGCAGGGTCTGCTGGGCAAGCTGTGCCGCGCCCGGCGGGCGCAGGGAGCGCAGCGGCTGCGCCGGAGCCGCAGCGAGGAGCGGCCCGAGCGCCTCCTGGTGTCCACTCGCGCCAGCGCCGCCCCGCGCCGCCCGGACGAGCCGCCCCCGCGCAAGGCTTCCTCGCTGCTGGGCGGTCGCGCGGGCCCGGGGGGCACGCGCAGGTACCCGGGGCGCGCGCGCACGGGCTGCGGGTGCTTCCTAGTCGGTGGGCCGGGGTGGAGATCTGGGCAGAGCGCGCGGGGTCGGGGCGTGGACACCTGGGGGGTGCGGGTGCGAGGCAGGAGAGGTTAAGGGCAGCGGGACACGGGACATCTCTATCCCCTATGCCCCCTAGCCTCTCTCTCTCCCTAGGGCGGGGCACGCGGCCAGCCCCCCCACTCCACCCCTTCTTTCTCCCCAGGACAGTCCGAGTCTACAAGGGCAACAAGAGCTTCGGCTTCACGCTGCGCGGCCATGGGCCTGTCTGGATCGAGTCTGTCCTGCCTGGTGAGGGGTAGGCGGGTTGTCCTGGATGGAGTGAAGGACCCTGTTAGGCCGATACTCAGTAACCCGCCCACTCGCTTCCACCCCCCAGGTTCAAATCTCAGGTAGCCTGTGCCCTCTAAGTATCCTAGATACATCCGTCTGAGTTGGGGCAAACGCCCTCCAAGTTCAGGGTCACCTTTGAGCCAAGTGACCCGAGTTCTCCATCCAGACCTTCCCTGCGTCCACGTGGGGGGGTGGGGGGGGGCTGAGGGCACGGTCCCAGACACTGGGGGAGCCAGGACACACACCTGATGCCTGCCCAGGCCACACCCTAACACCATGCGTGCTCTGTGCTGGGTGCCCACTGTGAACTTGGCACTTGCTGGGCGGGTCAGACTCAGAGAGGCATCAGGCCCTCAGGGCCTCTGCCCACTATCCAGTCCCTTCCTCCCAATCTGGACTCTCCTCCCACCCCCACCCTGCCTCCCTTTTTTTTTTTTTTTTTTTTTGGTGGTGGTGGTGGGGTGCTCCTGGAATGGTGGCATCTTGGAAAAGGCAGAGCCTTAGTGCAGGAATTTTCCCTTCTCCCCCTCTGAAGGTGGGGTGTGTGTGTGGGGGGGGGGGGGTCTTCCATTGTGAAAGGCCTCTGTGGGGCAGAAATGTCTCCTGACACTAAACTGAACTTTCCCTCCTGGTAACCACCTCCCAGGGCTGGGTCACCTGCATTCATAACCTCCCAGCACCTGAGCATGCTGCTCCTGGTGACACATCCCCACTGGTGGACCCGCTGATGCTGAGTCCCGTCTACCCTTCCTCATCTCACACCTCCAATGCATGGATTTGTGGGACGGACATCTTCTGATCCCCAGGAAAGTGCCTTAGTGCCTTAGCATCTCCCGCCACGGGGATCTCAGATGACTGACGCGTTCCAGTTCTTCTCGGATCTGTGCACTACTAAGTTGTTGGCACAGTGTTGTAGGGAAGAGGCCCAAGGGCCGGTGCTCTAGAAAAGAGTAATCTCTCCTCTTTGTCTCTTCCAACTGAGCCACCACCTTCCTGCTCCACCCACGTGGTCCAGCCGGAGATCCTTTGCCTAGGGCCATGTTAAAATCTAGATGTGCTGTTCTCTCCAACCCAGTGTCCAGGCTTTCCCCTTGTCTTCCTTGTCATAGGAAGCGAAACCAATGCTTCAGTAAGAGCTTTTACAGAAGGGGAAACTGAGGCCTTTAGAGGCTCTGGCAAAGCAAGGACCAGAACCTGAGATCTCCTGACTCCCGTTCCAGTGATCTTGAATTCCCCGGCTACAACCCCACTGGCCCTCCTACCCCAGGCTGGCCCAAGCTTCCAGATGGGCCAGATTGGATTCATCACCACCATCGCCCTCTCCTCTCCCCCTTTTCAGCCCCAGGGAAAGGACTCTGCTTCCCTAGCAAGTCTTTCCTGAGCAGCCTTCTCCCCTGCCCCCTCTGCCCTGACAGTCCCCACAGCCTCATGAGAGTACGTTTTCTTTTTTTTTTTTTTTAACTTTTTTTTTCAACGTTTATTTATTTTTGGGACAGAGAGAGACAGAGCATGAACGGGGGAGGGGCAGAGAGAGAGGGAGACACAGAATCGGAAACAGGCTCCAGGCTCTGAGCCATCAGCCCAGAGCCCGACGCGGGGCTCGAACTCAGGGACCGCGAGATCGTGACCTGGCTGAAGTCGGACGCTTAACCGACTGCGCCACCCAGGCGCCCCGAGAGTACGTTTTCTTTAGGCATCTGTCCCTTCCCCCACTTGCTTCCAAATCAAATTTAGAGCAGCACCTGATAAAAGAGGCAGCAAGGAAAAAAACCTGCATCCACAGGAGCAAAGTTACCAGCCCCTCCCCAGGTGGTGGGTACTGGGTTTGGTCTGACCTTCAGGGCCATCAAAGCCGAGTGAGAGTCCACTGCTATCTTGGGTTTAAAATGCAGGTTTTATTATTATCCTGGTGCAGTGAGGCCAACAGATCAGGAGATAATCACCATTGGAAAAAAGAGCGTGTCCTTCACAGTTCCCAAGAGGAAGGGACATGCCACATCATGCAGGGCCACACCACCACACAGGGCCACATGGGAAAGGGAAGGATCGAGCCAAGCAGGTTAAGCAAGCTAAGCAGGCGTAGGATGAGTTTGAATGCTTTCAGCAGGCTCTGGGACATAGGAGCTGTCCCCTTTTGGGAGGTGCCTGGCCCTGGGTGATTGGGGCAGGGCAACAGTGACCCGGGGTTTGAGAGCCCTGTAGACAAGGAGGTTGGTTGGTTGTAGGCTCTGGATCCGTTGTGTACAAGAGACACTTTTCCGAGCCAGTCATTTACCACATAGGAGTTGGCTAGCCCTGGGAGGGCAGTGCTTCCCAGGTCACCATTGCCCCCAAGATGCCAAAGCATCAGGAAGCACAGAAACAAACAAGCATGATTAATACACCATGTTTCACAGCCTGAGGGAGACACATGCGTCCCTCTAGGCAGACGCACTTTCTCCTGATGACAAAGGCACAGAGGAATCTGCCACGTGAACTGTTACGTGAGGGGCAGAGACCGGTGTATGGACCCGGGCTCTCAGCAGGTGCACAGATGCTGCAGAAATACCGCTCCCAAGACCTTCCTTGTTTCTGCACTGCTTCAACAGCTCAGGGCTGACAGGTGGTCCACACTGTGCCCCAAACCCTCCCATGCCCACCCAGGGGCTCACTCCCTGCTCAGAGCAGCTGAGAGCAGAGGAGTACTGGGTCTAATGTGGGATCTGCTGGCCTGAATTTGGCTGTCCTTTGCCGCTTTTCCCATTTTGCTCCTGTGAAATGGGCTCGCAAAGCATGGCCCTGCCCAGCTGACCGGCCCGCGCTCTCTTCTCACTTCCAGGGAGCCCGGCTGACAATGCATCCCTCAAGTCAGGTGACCGGATCCTCTTCCTCAATGGACTGGACATGAGGTCAGAGGCTATTTGGGACATCAGAGCTTGGTGACACATCATCCTCCAAGACTCCTGACTCTTGGGACACCCAGGCCGTGGTCCCAATCTCCTATGACCACTTGGTCCCCACAGTCTGCCCCTCTTCCTGTGGGAACCCTTGAATCTGTCCCCCTACACTAGCCAGGATGTCATTGATCCTTCCAACCAGAAAACACCCCGGCTCCATGCAAGGGACACAGTTAAATGGACCATGAGTATCTTGCCCTTGAGGATAGCCCGGCCTAGGGGTGACGTGGGCTCAATCCCTCTGCGCCCAGAAGTGTCCAGCTGGTCCTGGGCCTGGAGCATCTCCTGCAGAGGATATGAATGAGCAGGACCCGACTTCTGGTCCTGGCCTAGCTGTGGGCATGCTGAGTGGCCTCTACCAGCAGGACAAGGAGGTCTGGTGGGTGGCCGTGGACAGGGCTCATCCTGGTCAGGCCCTCCTGGGCCATCTCTTCTCGGCAGGAACTGCTCCCATGACAAGGTGGTGTCCATGCTTCAAGGCAGTGGCGCGGTGCCCACGCTGGTGGTGGAGGAGGGGCTTGTCCCGTTTGCCAGCGGTGAGACACCCACTACCACTAGGCTTCACGGCTCACAGACACCCTGCCAGGGCTCCGTGTGTGGGACTTACGAGTCTGCACAGGACTCTGCCTTTCCCCCTAAGCCTGCAGCTTCCCTCCCCACGTGGTGCCGTAGATTCCAGTGGGGCAGCCTCAGGGACCCTGCCAGGGGCTGTCCCGGCATCCCTGTCCCCAGCTTCTGGCAGCAGGTGTGGCTCCCAGTGCCCGGCACTCCCCCCAGCTGCCAGGGACACGACATCCAACCTGGGGATGCTGGGTCACCTGTGCCTCTCCTGCCCGTGGTCCCCGACAGACTCCGATTCTTTGGATTCCCCCAACCCGTCCTCGGCGCTCACCTCCCTGCAGTGGGTGGCAGAGATCCTACCCTCCAGCATCCGGGTTCAGGGGAGGACTTTCAGCCAGCAGCTGGAGCACCTACTCACGCCTCCCGAGCGCTATGGGGTCTGCCGGGCACTTGAGAGCTTCTTCCAGCACAGGTGGCTGAACCAGACAGGTGGCGGGACCAGCCCTGGGTGGGCCCCAAATCCTGCCCAGACTCACCATCGGGGGTCTCCCTGCCTGGGTCTCCTCCACCCCCTTCTCCTGGGCGGGGGGGGGGGGGGGGGCGGGGGGGCAACTCAAGGAAAGCAGCAGCTGGTACCAGGGGCCCCAGGGGGGTGGGCAGTCCAGGTGCCCCACAACAAACCCTCACTCTTAAACCTCCCAGCCACGTGACCTAGCCTCTGCAAGGTGAAGCAACAACCACCAGCTGCACTGGTCGTGGACCGCTCACAAGACTTTGGCCTGTGGGCGCTCGCCACCAGCCGGCCGGCGGTCATGGGGCAGGGGGGAGCGGGTGCTTAGGTCGGTGTCTTCCTTTTTGTAACTTCAGTCCATAGGGTCATTGTCACGGCCCATGCAAACCCCTCACCTGTCCGTGCCCTTTTCTTTTTTTTTTTTTGTTTTAAACAGCATTGTTGAGATATAACTCACACACCATCACAATGTACTCACTGAAGGGTACGAGGCACTGATTTTTAATGCACACATCGGTGCATCCGTGACCACGCTCAGTTTGAGAACGTTTTCATCACCTCAGAACGAAACCCCACACCTCTTCACTGTCACCCCCTCCTCCTCTGCCCTCCCCCCACCCCTCAAACAACCACGAATCTGCTTCAGTGTCTCTGTGGCTTTCCCTGTTCCGGACTCCCACATGAATAGGAGCCCACAGCATGTGGGCTTTCACGTCTGGCTTCTTTCGCCCAGCATCGTGTTTTCCAAGTCCATCCAAGCTACGGTATCTATTTCCTTCCTTCTTCGTAGCCAAATAACATTCCATTTTGTGGACAGACCACATGTTGTCTATCTGGATGCTGGGCTTGTCTCCACCTTTCATTGCCTTTGAGCTCCACTCCCTCTCCCACATCCCTCCCCTGCCAAGGCACCAGTCTGATGAATTTAACGGGCATCCTTTTGTCTGATGTGTTCCTCAAGTGTAGGCATTGCTGTTTCATATGATGTGTTTTTTTTTTTTAAGTTTTATTTAAGTAACCTCTACACCCAACGTGGGGCTCGAACTCATGACCCCAAGATCAAGAGTCACATGCTCTTCTGACTGAGCCAGCCAGGCGCCCCACATATGATGTATCTTTTTGTTCCGCATCATGATTGTGCTATTCTTTGCACATTCCTTGTGTGACTTTCTTCCACCAAGTGCTCTGTGTTTAGATCTGTCCATGTTGTTCCGCGGACATGGAATACATGGTTTATAACTGCAGCCAGATTCTTGTAGATCACCTCCCCCGCCAGCCGTGTCTGAGGTATTTACCTGCCAGTGACAGACCCCGCCTTGCCACCACTGTGTTCCATCACAGGAGCATTGGTGAACACCGTCCTGCACATTTGCCCACGGAGCTGTGCACAGTTCGTTTGAAATTTACGTCTCAGAGCAGAATTGCTGGCTCTTAAGGTATTTGCTTACCTTTTTAAAAATTATTTATTTATTTTGAGAGGGAGAGTGGGAGAGGGACAGAGAGAGAGGGAGAGAGAGAGAATCTTAAGCAGGCTCCACTCCCAGTGCAAAGCCCAGTGTGGGGCTCGATCCCACAATCCTGGGATCATGACCTGAGCTGAAATCAAGAGTCGGATGCTGAATTGACTGAGCCATACAGGCGCCCCTTGTGTACCTAGTGTGACTAAGTAATACCAAATATTTTCCCAGAGCGCCGCTGTCACTCATACCTGCAGTCTTTCAGCCAGAAAGTGACATCTTTTTATTTTGAGTTTTTAAATTACTATTTTAGGGGCGCCCGGGTGGCTCCGTCAGCTCAGCGTCCGACTCCTGATTTCAGCTCAGGTCATGATCTCATGAGTTTGAGCCCCGCGTCGGCCCCTGTGCTGACAGCTCAGAGCCTGGAGCCTGTTTCTGATTCTGTGTCTCCCTCTCTGCTTCTCCTCTGCTCGCACTCTGTCTCTTAAAAATGAATAAACATTTTTTAAAAATAAAAAAAAAAAAACAGCCGTAGACCGTAGACAATATATAAACAAAGAGTCATGGCTGTGTTCCAATAAAACTTCCTTTACAGACACAGAAGGGGGTCCAGAATTTGGCCTGCGGGCCATCATTTGCCAATCCCTGATGTAGTGAGTCAGCCTCCCCAGTACACTCTATGTGTTTACCCCTTCACAGTGACTCTATGAGATAGATGCTATTTTTATCCCCATTTTACAGATAAGGAAACTGAGGCACCGAGAAATTAAGTAACTTGAGAAAGGTCACTTGGCTGGTAAGTGGCAGAGTCAGGATTTGAATCAGGGTGGCCGATCGCCTGGCCTGCCTTCCTCCCTTCCCTGTCTCCGCAGGGTTCTGTGGCCTGGAAGTGCCCCCCACCTTGTCCGTCTCTCGCTCCCCCTATGGTGAGCCCCTGAGTAATGAAGCCCTTGCTCCCGCACCCTCCCCCAGGAACATTGACACCCTCATCGTGGACGTCTACCCTGTGCTGGACACACCTGCCAAGCAAGTCCTTTGGCAGTTCATCCACCAGCTGCTGACTTACGAGGAGCAGGAGCTGTGCCGGGAGAAAATCGCGTGTTTCCTGGGCTACACGGCCGTGACAGGTAAGCAGCCTCTCCCGCTGCCCCGCCCACAAAGAGCCAGACACCTGTTCTCAGATCGCAGCCTACCTGGGCCTCTTCCACACACGGATGCAACCCTGTGTCATGCAGACACGTGCCCGACACACCCGGGCTGGTCGCACACTTGGCCCCGCGGATGCGCCTTGCCAGCTTGACCTTTTTTATTATTATTATTTCTTTTTTAATGTTTATTTGCTTTTGAGAGAGAGAGAGCGCTTGAACAGGGGAGGCACAGAGAGAGAGGGAGACACAGAATCCGAAACAGGCTCCAGGCTCTGAACGTCAGCACAGAGCCCGACGTGGGGCTCGAACTCACAAATCCCAAGACCGTGACCTGAGCCAAAGTCGGACGCTTTACCGACTGAGCGACCCAGGTGCCCCTCAGCTTCACCCTTAAGTAACATCTGCAGTCTTATCTCAGACTTTAGACACCCTGCCTGTCCGCCCGGAAGCCCAGGCTTCTCACCCACAACATGGGAGTGACCTCAGTGGCCGTGCATTGCACCTCAAGAAATGTGGCACAGACCAGGAAATTCGTGTGGTTGCTGTTTACAGAGCTGGAGAGTGAGCACACAGTCAGGTCACACCTGGCTGGTGCGCCTCGATGCACACGGACACACACTAGGGCCTGCCGGATGATGTGTGGCCTCAGCTTCCCACAGCTGCCCATCTCTTACAGTGTCCCCCATGTGGCCATAAAGCCGCACCCATCATTTAGGCCAAACCCTGTGCCCATGCTCTACATACTCTGCACCTGCTAGGTCACAGCCTGCAGACCTGTGTGCTGGCCCTTGTGTGCCCACCATCCGTAGTCCTGGGGACCCACAATTTGCTGGGAGAGGCTCGAGGGTTTTAGCAAGAGGCTCGGAGCATAGGCTGAGCAGTAGGTGTACAGTCTCTCTCCACTTGCTAAGCAGAGCCTGGGGTCACAGATCGGTGCACACAGCTGCTGCCTTCACCCCTCCTGGGAGGCCCCTGGGCTGAGAGGACAGGGGGCCCGTCTCCTGTTCATGTCCCACAGCAGAGCCAGAGCCCGAGCTGGACCTGGAGCCTGAGCCCGAGCCTGAGCCCGAGCCGGTGCTGGAGCCCCAGCGACGCAGCTCCCTGAGGGCCTCCTCCATGTGCCGCCGCAGTCTCCGGTCCCAGGGCCTGGAGGCCAGCCTCAGTTGCGGTGAGGCTCTGGACGGGAAGGCGGGACTGGGTGTGAGGAACAGGGCTCCGTTTTCCCACCTGCAAAATGGGGTTGGTGAGACGAGAGATCCCGGAGAACGGGTTGAGCGGGGCTGAGCCATGGCTCTCGGGGGTCTGCAGGGCTTGCTAGTTCTTTCTCCATGGCTGCCCACTGGGCCTGGGCTGGAACCTGAGCCTTAGAGCTCAGAAGGGTCACTGGATGTCTCCACGGTGGACTCCACCCTCCCCGATTCCCCCAGCAGGTCCCGGTGACTGTCCCGAGATGCCTCTTCCTCTAATCCCAGGCGAGCGCCAGGCAGGCGACGGCACGTCCCTCCCTGAGACCCCCAATCCGAAGATGGTGAGACCTCACCACCCTCCTGGTGGTTCACTTGGCTGCTGGGAATAGGTAGCTCCTGGGGCTGGGGCAGATCCCTGCCTCCCAGACCACCCAGGCCTGGCCTCTGAGGCCATGTGAGGGCCTCACATGGGAGGGGAGGGTGGGTTGGACTCACCCTGGCCTCCTCTCCCCAAAGATGTCAGCCGTCTATGCGGAGCTCGAGTCCCGACTGAGCAGCAGTTTCAAAGGGAAGGTGGGGACCACGTCCAGATCCCGTGCCTCCCCGCCAGTGCCCAGCCCGGCAGGTGCAGCAGGTAGGGGCTCAGCCGGCTGGGGTTCCTGAAGGCAGCACTAGCTTCTGTCCACTGGGCTGTCTGTCTGGGTGTTTTCCCCATCTGAGGCACATCCTTCGAGCCTCCCCTTTGTTGCATGGCTCCATGACTGAGTTGTGGGGAACCTCAGTGGCCTCCATGGCAAAGGTCCATCAAGGTTAGGGTTGATGCAGGGTCTTCCCAGGTCCCCTCCAACCCTTACCCCTCCTATAGATTTAGAAGAGCCCAGGTCTTTCCCCTAAGGAGCCCTGAGTTAGCATGTGGCTATTAAGTGCACGCATTGCTCTGTGAATGGCCCAACTGAGAAGCTAGTTTCTCTGCAGTTCAGAAGGCAGGACACCAGGGCAGTGTTCCTGTCAGCCAAGGGCCTGTCGGGTGCGGGAGGTGCCTCATGATCCTTGGTCTCGGGCCCGGAGAAGGCCCATCTCCCCTTTGAATTGTGTTCGGTCAGTCCTAGGTGGGACCAAGATGAGCTGGGGTCTGGCCTGTCCTGGGGCTAAGTACTGTTCCCCCTCATCTACTCTGACCTTTGATTTCCCTTAGGGAAGGGCCTGGGGAGGCAGGGGCATCCAGGGTCTTCTTGTGCTGTGTCCAGAGAGGGAAAGGAAGGTACCCAGGGACACAGAGCCACCCTGCCCCGGGCCCCTCCCCTCCAGCCTGCACCTGGGACCCAGGTGCTGACTGAAGAGACCTTACACCTTATCCCCCACCCCAGGGCCCAGGACCCTGTCCAGCGTCTCGTGGCCCAGCGAGCGGCTCCTGCCCTCCCCCTGCTACTACCCACTGTGCTCAGGGGGCCTGGCCTCCCCCAGCAGCTCTGAGTCTCACCCCTACGCCAGCCTGGACAGCAGCAGGGCGCCCTCCCCACAGCCAGACCCCGGGCCCATCCGCTCCGACAGCCCCCCAAGTCCGGACCCTGCCCGCCCACCCAGCCGCAGGAAGCTCTTCACCTTCTCCCGCCCCATGCGCAGCCGGGATACTGACCGCTTCCTGGATGTGCTCAGTGAGCAGCTGGGCCCCCGGGTCACTGTCGTGGATGATTTCCTGAGCCCTGAGAATGACTATGAGGAGGTGAGCGTGCAAGCAGGTGTGGAGGGCGAGGGGTCCAGGTGTGCCATGGGGGTCTGGAAGGGGAAACAATATCCCTGGGCTCCCGCAAGAAGCCTGTTGCCCTTGGGAATCTGCCCCAGGCTACTCCCCTCCCTGCCCCGGTCCATCCCAGAATCTGTCCCAGGCTACCCCACCCCCTGGCTTGAGCTATCCCACCCTTTGACTCAAGCTATGACACCCCCCCACTCAAGGCCACCCCATATACCTTATCTCGGGTTACCCCGTTCCTTTTCCCAGACTGTCCTATCCTTGTCCCCAGGCTATCCCACCCCCTGCCCCAGGCTATCCCACTCTCCCTCACCTTGCTCCGCCCTGGCAGATGAGCTTCCACGATGACCAGGGCAGCTTTGTGACCAACGAACGGAGCAGCGCTAGCGAGTGCATCAGCAGCAGTGAGGAAGGCAGCTCCCTGACCTACTCCTCCGTCTCCGACCACATCCCCCCCCCCCCGCTCAGCCCCCCGCCTCCGCCACCTCTGCCCTTCCATGACCCTAAGCCCAGCTCCCGCATCCCCGATGGTCCTCGGGGCCCTGCTCAGACAATGGTCAAGCCCCTCACCCAACTCAGCCACCCAGTCCCTCCACCGCCCCCGCCACCCCTGCCCCCACCGGTGCCCTGTGCACCCCCCATGCTGTCCCGGGGCCTGGGCCACCGCCGAAGTGAGACCAGCCACATGAGCGTCAAGCGCCTACGGTGGGAGCAGGTGGAGAACTCGGAAGGCACCATCTGGGGTCAGGTAGGTGACCTGAGGCCTGGGGGTGCCCTGCACCAGGGGTAGGTGGCCTGGGCAGCAGTATTGAAGACAAGCCCCTGTCCAGTTTGTAGCCCCTGGCATTTCCCGCTTCCGTTTACTAGCATCGTGAACCCAGGACAGCTCTGGTGAGCGCACCCCCTGCAAAGTACACCCCCAAGCAAGGCCAGAGCTCTTGGCCACCTCCTTAAGCCCCCTCGGTTGGCTGCGGCCCCTTTGCAGTCCCTTCATCCGCCTGCCCCAGTGCAGCTTGCTGGCTTCTGCAGGGGGAGTATTGCAGGTGTACGTATGCGATGGACTTGAGGAGGCAGCGGCCCACCGCCTGATAACCTGGACGAGTTTGTGTCTCCCGCAGTCTCCTCTGGCCCCCACGTGTACCCCAGGGCCTGACGAGGGCTCTCCCTTCAGTAGCTCCCAGGGCATCCCTTAGAGGGTGGGTGGGGTGGGTGGTGGCAGTGCGGTTGCCAGGGTAGGGCCTCACTGTGACGCCCTCTGCCTTGCAGCTCGGGGAAGATTCTGATTATGATAAGCTGAGTGATATGGTAAAATACCTCGATCTGGAGCTCCACTTCGGCACCCAGAAACCTGCTAGTGAGTGGCCCGAGGGCCCTGGGGGAACCCTCCACAAGCCCTCTCTGGAAGTCCACCTGCTGCCTTTTGTGGCATCCCGGGGCTTAGAGTCCCAGAGGCCTGCACCGACTGCCATTTGCTTACCGTGTCCCTGAGTTATTTAACTTCGCAGAGCCTCAGTTCTCCTGTCTCAAAGTGGAGATGACCGTAATAGCTGGCATTTATTGCATGCTTCCCAAATGCCAGACACCCTTGTTTCTAAATCAATCCCGTGATGACCCTATGAGACAGGGACTGTGACCACCCTGGCTTCTTGATAAAGAAGCACAGAGAGGCTAGATAATATGCTTAAAGTCACAGAGCCAGAATCAGGTGACCAGGAGGCATCCATATCTAGGAGACTAGATGTCCCTTCTAGTCTCTTTGTCCCCTCTCCCCTCTCTGGGTATCTCCCTATAGGATTGTTGGGTGGGGTTCCAGGCAGCCAGGGGTATCATGTGTGACAGGTGGTTGCAGGATGGAAGACAAAGGCCTTTGTCCATCCAGGAAGCATCTTCAAGGTGAAGAGGTGGTTGGTTCACCTTACTTGGGCAGCTCAGTCCCAAGGGCCCCGGCGGGGGGGGGGGGGGGGCGGGGAGGGGCGGGGAGGGGAGGGGCACCCACCACGCATGCTGAGTATGTTACACCTGAGTGGGAGACTGAGGAATGAAGGAACTGTGGACACCTGGAGCTGATTCAGTCACGGCCCTGTCAAGGGGTGTCTCGCCATTGGGTGCGGCCACACCCCTCCTGGGCCGTCCCACCAGCCTAGTGTCCTCCCGTTAAACCACTTTCCCTTCCAGAGCCGTTGCCCGGGCCCGAACCCTTCAGGAAGAAAGAAGTGGTGGAGATCCTGTCTCACAAGAAGGCCTACAACACCTGTGAGGGGTTCGGGGAGTCCCAGGGCTTATGGGGGACAGGAGGCGGCCCCGTCCCTGGGCCGCAGAGCTTTGGATCCGCGGGGGTGGATGACACATTAGTCCGTGGGGGTCCGACACCGGCTGGGTGAAGGCCCCCTCCTAGGTCAAGGAACCCACCCCGGCGCAGGTGCCGCGCTGGGCTCCACCCTCATTGGCCCCGCCCCCTCGTTGGCCCCACCTCTACAGGCCTCGGCTTCCGGGTTATGGCCCCGCCTCCAGCCGCATCCTCTACTCTCCCTCACGGGGTCTCCTCCCTCATTTTGGCACCACGCCCACAGACCCCACCCGAATCTAGGTCTAAGTCTTCGAGAACCATGTCCTCGCCTTTATTCGGCCTTGGGAAGAACCCTCTGCCTCTCCGGGCCGGCTCCTGCCCCGCCCAGTTCCTTGCCCCGCCCAGGCTCCACCCGGTAGCCCCGGGGAACTTAGGCGCCCCGCCCACCCTCCGCCCGGCCCCGCCCCCGGCTCACGCTCGCGGCCCGGCCCGCAGCCATCCTGCTGGCGCACCTGAAGCTGAGCCCCGCGGAGCTGCGGCAGGTGCTCATGAGCATGGAGCCCCGGCGCCTGGAGCCCGCACACCTGGCGCAGCTGCTGCTCTTCGCGCCCGACGCCGACGAGGAGCAGCGCTACCAGGCCTTCCGCGAGGCGCCCGGCCGCCTCAGCGAGCCCGATCAGTTCGTCCTGCAGGTGCTGCGGCCGTGACCGCCGCCCGGGGTCGGGGGGGGGGGGTGCTGCCCGGCGGCCTCGGCCGCTTCCATCGGGGCTCACGCTGTGACCGGGGCTGCGTGGGTCCCGCTCCCCTACCGCCACTGCGCTCGCGCCTCTGAGTCCCAGTTTTACACCTTTAATGGCCAGTTCCCACCCGGGGTTCAAGGTAGATGGGATTGTGCTTATTTTTGTGTGCTCATTTTGGGATTGTGCTTATTTTTCATGAGGGGAATGCCGGGCAGCCAGCTGACCCCCACCCCAGGCTGCGGTGGGGCGGTGGGGCCCCTGGTGGGATGGGTGCAATCCTGGCGTTGACTTCGTGACAGATGCTGTCGGTTCCGGAATACAAAACCCGCTTGCGCAGTCTCCACTTCCAGGCCACCCTACAGGAGAAGACAGAAGAGATCCGGGGCAGCCTGGAGTGCTTGCGCCAAGCCTCCCTTGAGCTCAAGAACAGCCGGAAGCTCGCCAAGATCCTGGAGGTCAGGGCGCACCCACTCTCCGATCACTCCACCTGCCCCTTGGGGCTTCCAGTCTGGAGGCCCATCCTGATAGCGGTCTGGGGTGCGGGGTGAGCACCTGGGCAGGACCTGCCCACCTTTCTTTCCACAGTTTGTGTTGGCCATGGGCAACTATCTCAACGATGGACAGCCCAAAACTAACAAGACCACGGGCTTCAAGATCAACTTCCTGACGGAGGTGAGGGGACCAGTTGGCAGTAATGTATGAGCTTGCCCTACCGTATGGAGGCTGGGGAGGCCAGGCCCAACCCAAGTTGTGGCAGAGGGGAGGAGAGAATGTCATGGCCAAGGAGCGCCCTTCTCCCAGGAGGAAAAGCTGGCTGCCAGCAGGCCAGAATGTAATTGCAGTAAAGGATGGATGGGGGACCTTTTCCAAGCCAAGCCTCGGGATCTGGAAAAATGGAGGGTGGGGGGACAGGGAGGGAAGACTCCAAGAGGAAGGAGAGAATCTCACCTGGTAGCTTCTGTGTCCTTAATACCACCACCACTGTCAGGCCGTCCTACGCCTATAAGATCTAGGATCTGAGAAAGGACAGCTTGAATACCTGGTCTTCCCACTGTTTCTGGGACCTTTCCCCATGGTACCTTTGACTGTTTTAAAAGAGAAGAAGAAAAACTCCATTTGTAGATATGAATGTTTTAGGAAGTCTGAAGCCCAGGAGGGCCACATATGGTTCCAGAAAATCACAAAGAAGGAAGACATGTGAATGGTGTCCCACCACCGTCACCCAGGGGTCAGAAAATCTGGGGTTATATTTGCTGACAAGGCCTCACTGCCAAGGACAGGAAACCTGGTGGCCTTCTCTAGCCGATGGCTGTGGGCCTGGTTCCTGGGGGGCTGGAAGGATGTCTCAAAGATCTGGGCCAGGAAACCTCCAAACTCCTGAGGAGGCCTGTGGGCATCCCAGCAGAGCTTCAGAGGAAGAAATACTGGCAACTTTGGAGTAGCTGGGTGTCAAGGGCCAGGAATTGCTGTCACAGTCCAGGAGACATGGGGCCAGGGGTACCCAGCCCTGTGTGATCAGGTGTCTGATGGGGTCCTTGAAGAGTATGTCTGCTGGGCATCACTTGCAGCTGAACTCCACGAAGACTGTGGATGGGAAATCTACCTTCCTGCACATTCTTGCCAAATCGCTGAGCCAGCACTTCCCAGAACTCCTTGGCTTTGCTCAGGACCTGCCCACTGTGCCCCTGGCTGCCAAAGGTAGGCTGAGTGCATGGGTGGGGTGCCACTGTCCTGGGCTGGGAGGCCGGTGCTCGTGAGGCTCTGTTCCCTTCCCTACAGTGAATCAACGGGCCCTGACCAGTGACCTAGCTGACCTCCATGGCACCATCAGTGAGATACAGGCTGCTTGCCAGAGCACGCCCCCCTCCAGTGAGGACAAGTTTGCTGTGGTCATGACAGTATCCTCTGAGCAGCCGGTCCCAGCACCAGGATAGGGAGCCCCACTGTAGCCCCAGTGGCCACTGGGATCCGGGGCCCTGGCAGAGGGTCCATCCTGGTGATTTAGAATCCAAGCACGTACACCAAGTCTGCATAACTGAAGAGGAGTTCTTTTGACTGTCCAAAAGCCACTGCCTCGCCCCATCTGTCCTTCTGGGCCATAGAGCCCAGATTTAAGTCACAGGCAGTCAGGAGAGGGGGACATTGCCACAGAGTACAGATAGCGGCAAATGCTACAGAAAAAAAAAGAGAGAGAGAGAGAGATCAAAGCCTAGAGAGTGACAGGAAGATACTATCAGCGGGTGTTTGGGGAGGAAGGGGTCACGGCATCTGAGAAGAGCCCACCGGGGAGACAGGGCTACCCTACAGAGAAGACAAGTGGAAGGCCGCGAGGCTGACTGGCTGTGGTGGGCTTCAGGGCCAGCTGAGAGGGCAGTGTGCAAAGGGACTGGAGCCCCCCAAACAAGCATGGCTCCTGGCTGAGCACAGGGCATGTAGCAGCTAGGCTCAGCCTGGGGTCACTGCCCGAGAACCTGAGGATGCCTGGCAGTTTCCTTAACGGGGCAATCAGTCCTTCCTAGAGACGGCCCAGCCGGTGCTGCGGGCCCTGGACGCGCTCCAGCGGGAGGCCACCGAGGAGCTGGGCAGGGCGCTGGCCTTCTTCGGTGAGGATTCCAAAGCCACCACCTCTGAGGCCTTCTTCGGCATCTTTGCAGAGTTCATGAGCAAGTTTGAGGTGAGCTGTGATGAGAGGCCGAAGAGGCCTCTTAGAAGTCCCTCTGGAGGTCAGATGAGGCCTCCATGAAGCCCAGATTGGGAAAGGGCTCCCCGCAAATGTGACAGGACCCCCATGGGGCCAGTAGGTCCCTTCCCTGGCTCCCTGGGTGGGGAGATGAGGCAGGGCGGGGAGTCAAGGGTCCCTGGACCACTGACCAGCCCCTCCCCATGTGCCCCTTCCTCCCCAGCGAGCACTCAGTGACTTGGAAGCTGGGGACGGCCCACGCAGCTCAGGGATGGTTTCGCCCCTGGCCTGGTGACCTCCGGAGCTCATCTTGCCCAAGGCCCAGCCCAGTGGCCTGGAGCAGCCCCGAGTGGCCTGGGTGCGGGAGGTGGGGCCCGGCCTCCCCGCATCTCCAGCTACCTCAGCTGTCGGGCTCTGGGTGCCGGGAAGGTTCAGGGTCATCCAGGCTTCCCTCTGTGGGACTCGGCCCCCGCTCCAAACAAGCACTGGGACATGGGGCAGAGCGGAGGCGCCAACTCCCCGAGGAGCGTGAAACATGGCTGCCCGCAGGCGTGCTCATAATGGGGGGCCTGGCTTTGCCCCTCCTGGCTCCGAGGGGCCTTCGAAGCAGCCGCCGGCTGTACGCACCCTCAGGACTCTGGTCTGGTCCCGGGGAAGGGTTTGTGGGTGGGGGTGGGGGCCGTGACCAGCAAGTGGATTGTGAGGTGGCCCCCAGTCTGGGGCAGTGTCTGCCATCTGCCCCTCAGAGCTCGGCCAGAGCACACTCTGCCCCAAGCGAGGACGTCGGAACCTTCTTTCCAAGTCTGCTCCCAGTGGGCTGAAGGGACACCCTTGCAAAACACACACCCTGGACCCCAGAGAAGGTGACAGATGCCCTTGAACATGCCATGCCAAAGGGCACGATAGGCCTGTGGTCCCTCACCCAGCCCCGGCCTCCTGGGACCGCTCGGAAGAAGGCAGGGAGGAAAGACACCCCCAGGTGCAGGGACCTGGGAGCCTGGGTCTCGGAAGCCGGAAAAACTTCAGTTGGCTGCAGCCCAGCAGGGCAGGCAGGAGAGATGCTGGGCAGGGATAAGGGAGAGAACTGGCTTAGGAAGGCCTCGTCAGAGGGTAGAACGGAGGGTTTTTATCCGGCAGACAAATTTGAGTCCGGTTTGGAAGTGGCGAGTTTGAAGTGGGGCGTCTGAGAAGGGGATGGCGTGGCCAAGGTGGGGGCGGGGAGGACAGAGAGCTGTTTCGGTTCTGGGTGAGCGGGATTTGGTGGCCGATTGCCTGGCTGGGTGGCAGTGACGTTCCCTGGAAGAGGTCACGTGAGCAGAGCAGGTGTAGCGGTGGACGACACAGTGGGACATGCCGGGGCCCCCAGAGGCTGTTTCCCGTGTGTGCCTGGAGGCCCTCGTGAGGATGGGAGGAGAGGAGACAGTTTCCTGGATCCTAGGGACAGGGATGCTGTGGGTGGGAAGATGTGTTAACTTCTTTCATCCTTTCGTTGCTCCAGTGGGCAGTTTCCGGCATCAGGCAGATTCCTCTTTCCTTAACTTTCTTCCAGAGAAGTCCGAAATGCACTTTAAACCTGTCTCTTGGATTCTTTTTCTCTCCCTACAACCAAATGGCTAATGTTGCTCTCGGATGGGATTTGGGACCCATTCCGTTCCTCCCAGTCTCCCACAGACTGCTCTTTGAAGCCACGTATGTTCTGTGCTTGTTCTCCACGCACAGCCACCGTGTAAAAATGGCTAAATCGAAGCGTGCAATTCAGCGGGGGTAGGGAGAGAGGTTCGGATGTGCCTAGTGGTGCACATTGGTCCCCAGCAGCTCAAGCTAGATAATTCCAGGAATTACCAAGGCCCATGTCCCTGAGAAACATGTCAGACACTTAAAATCCCTGTGTGAGATCCACAGACACGATAGACTCCACCAGGCTGTAAGCAGACGTGATCCCCAAAGTAAATCCAGCCCCGTGCCGGGGGGCACGGGTTGGCAAGCCAAGCACTAGCTCTGTTTTCTCTCTAAATGCCTTGTATCGGGAACCTACTTTGCCACACAATGCCGTGTAACAGACAGTCCCAAATCTCAGTGGCTTAAAACAGCAGCCATCTACTGCTCATGAGTCTGCGGGTCACCTGGGCAGTTCTGACCTGAGCCGGGCTCAGTGGACTCACTCACGTGTGGACAGTCATCTGTGAGTCAGCTAGACAGCTTTACTAGCCATGCAGGGCTCCCTCCTGTGTCGGGGGCTGTGGCTGGGACAGCTGGGATGGCTTCGCATGGCCTCTCATCCCCCAGCTAAATAGCCAGGACCGTTCATGTGGTGGAGGCAGGGGTCCAAGGGAACCAGAGTCACAGAAGGCCCCTTGAGGCCTAAGCTCAGAACTGCCACCCCACCACCCCGCGCAGTCTATGTCAAGTGACAAAGGCCAGCCCACGTTCTAGGGAGGGAAAATAGGCTCCACGCTTGACGAGAGATGATGCTAAGTCACGTTGCGGAGGGTGTGGATTCAGGACAGGTGGAGAAGCAGGGCCATTTTCTGAATCAGTCTACCACCTGGCCGCTTGGCCTGACATCTTGGTACAGATCCCAGCCTCCTTAAATCCTCACTGGCCTCGGTCCCGCCCGGACCCAGCACAGCTCTGGGTGGCCACCTCCTTATGTCCTCCAGGTGGCATGCGTCCTTCTCTCTCTCACCCAGTCACCTGACTCCACTCGGTCCAGGGGGCAGCAATGGTCTGTGCCTGCCTAGCAACCAGTCTCCCTTCTGCTGGGAACAGCACCCTGTTTTTCCTTTGGGAAATTATCTCTTCCCTACTCACAGGCCCTGAGCAGTGCTGACTGCACAAGGATGATCCCGTGACTCTGGCTGGCTGACTTAGAGTCCAGTTAAGACTCGTGTTAGCACTGTTTGGGAAGGGAGCTCCCTCTTTTCTGGGTGAATTGTTGGATACATAGAGGGTAGAAGCCCGGAGGGGGCTCTCAGGACCACCACACGGAGAACACCTGCCTGGGTATGAGGCTAATACAGGGAAGAAGAGGAGAGCAGACTACTCAATACATCTCTTTTGTCCCTGGATCCAACCATGCCTGAAGCAGACTTCTGGACTTGTCAGTTTCTGAGCCAACAAATTCTCCCCCTCCATTTGTAAACTTTTAGAATTTATTTTAAGTTTTTGGCTTAGGCTGGTTTGAATGTGTTTCCGTCACTTGCAACACTAAGAGGGTTGAATAATACACCCATCCACAGATGGTTATAGATGTTCAGTCTTTTACCATTCTCAGCAAGAGCTCTTCATTCATAAATGCATTCGCCAATACTTTTTGACTGCCTACTATGTGCCAGACACCATGCTGAGTGCAAACATCTTTATGGGTCAGCCTCTCCGAGTTTGGTTTTCTGGGGTTATACTTCATGGTGATTCTACACCCGAGTCAGTACAAAGCCCTATATGTGAGCCAATATGTGCGCCATACCCAGGGGGGGGGGGGGCGGGGCCCCGCCAACTCCTTACCTAGTGTCAAGATGTGAATGCAAGCATTTATACCCCAGGAATTTATTTATTTCTCAATAATACTAACCAAATAACATAGCCTAATTACATGCCACCTTTCCTAATAAATGTTTATAGGTAGTGTGCCCAACGTTTTACACATTTCAGCTCATTTTAAGTTCACAATGACCCTCCTAGGTGGGTTTTGTGATCTCCTTTTTACAAATAAAAAGTGAAACTCAGGTTTGTGACTTGCTGGATCAAACACTCAGCTCTGTCTACATGAAAGGCCATCCTCTGCGTCTTTGTCTTGCTCAACACAATTTTTTTAAATGTTATTTATTGGGGCACATGGGTGGCTCAGTCAGTTAGGCATCCGACTTCAGCTCAGGTCATGATCTCACAGTTTGTGAGTTCGAGTCCTGCATTGGGCTCTGCTTCAGATTCTGTGTCTCCCTCTCTCTCTGCCCTTCCCCTGCTCATGCTCTCTCTCTCTCAAAAATAAATACATAAAACATTTTTAATAATAAAAAATAAAATGTTTACTTATTTAAAAAAATTTTTTTAAGTGTCTTTATTTATTTTTGAAGGAGAGAGACAGACAGACAGAGCATGAGCGGGGGAGGAGCAGAGAGAGAGGGAGACACAGAATTCGAAGCAGGCTCCAGACTCTAAGCTGTCAGCACAGAGCCCGAGGCGGGGCTCGAAATCACAAACTGTAAGATCATGACCTGAGCCAAAGTCAGACGCTTAACCGACTGAGCCACCCAGGCACCCCTACTTATTTATTTTTGAGAGAGAGAGAGAGAGAGAGAGAGAGAGCATGGCGGAAGTGGGGGGAGGCAGTGAGAGGGGGAGAGAATCCCAAGCAGGCTCCACGCTGTCAGTGCAGAGCCGGATGAGGGGTTCAATCCCATGACCCTGGGTCATGACCAGAGCTGAAATCAAGGGTCAGATGCTCAACCGACTGAGCCACCCAGGCATCCCTCAACACAATTAAAATACATATAGGGACACCTGGGTGGCTTAGTCAGTTAAGCATCCAACTTCAGCTCAGGTCATGATCTTTTGGTTCGTGAGTTCAAGCCCCGCATCAGGCTGTGTGCTGACAGCTCAGAGCCTGGAGCCTGCTTCAAATTCTGTGTCTCCCCCTCTCTCTGCCCCTCCCCCACTCATGCTCTGTCTGTCTCTCAAAAATAAATTTTAAAATATTAATATATATATACATACACACATATATGTGTGTATACATATATATGGGTATACATATATATGGGTATACATATATATATGTGTATATATATGTGTATACATATATATGTGTATATATATACATTAGTCTTTCCAGGGCCACAGATGCTGGTGACTTCAACATAAAGCCCATAGCTCTTTTCTCGCTTCTCCTGTTTTTCCTGCTTTAGTCTGCCACAACAAATACCACAAAGTTGCTTAGACCACAGGAGTTTTCTGCCTCACAGTCTGGAGGCTGAGAGTCCAAGATCAAGATGTCAGCAGGTCTGGTTTCTCCTGAGCTACTCTCTTCAGCTTACAGATGGCCCCTTCTGTGTGCATGTGCACATTCCTAATGTCTTTTCCTCTTCTTGTAAGGACCCCGGTCCTCTGGGTTTATAGAGTCCCACCCTTATGACCTCATTTAACCTGAGGTATCTCTTTAAAGACCCCATCTCCAGGGGCACCTGGGTGGCTCAGTCTGTTAAGTGTTTGGCTCAGGTCATGATCTCACAGTTCGTGAGTTTGAGCCCCGTGTCGGGCTCTGTGCTGACAGCTCAGAGCCTGGATCCTGCTTCAGATTCTGTGTCTCCCTCTCTCTCTGCCCCTCCCCTGCTTGCACTCTGTCTCTCTGTCTCTCTCTCAAAAATAACAATAAACATTAAAAAAAATTTAGAAAATAAAACAGGTCTTGTCTCCGCTCAGACATGATGAACAAATGCCATTAAAAACAAAAAAAAAATTTTTTTAATAAAAATAAAGACCCCATGTCCAAATGCATTCACGTTCTGAGGTCCCTTATCGGATCCCAAGGAGGCCTCAAAAATCTCTGGACTGATCTGATGCTTCAAAGAGAAAGTCTTCTGGGGAGCCCGGGTGGTTCAGTCCGTTAAGCATCTGACTTCAGCTCAGGTCATAATCTCACAGTTCGTGGGTTGGAGCTCCACTTCGGGCTCTGTCTTGACAGCTCAGATCCTGGAGTTGCTTCAGATTCTGTGTCTCCCTCTCTCTGCCCCTCCCCCGCTCATGCTCTGTCTCTCTTTCTCTCAAAAATAAATAAACATTAAAAAAAAAAAAAAAAAGAGGCTTCTGAGAGGGATGTTCCCACCTTCCCTCTCTTCATCCCATGTTCAGGCCTTGCTCTCAGTTCCAACTCAGAGTGAATTCTCCGTCTGTGCTACATTCCTGTGTCCCCGGGCTCCCAGGGCGCTCTGTGAACACAAATCACTCTCCACAGGCTCCTTCCCAGTCTCCTGTAAATACCCCTCCCCCTCCCCTTGCAGCCCTCCCAGAACAGTCTAGACCCCAGTGCTTGATGTCTGGTCAGTGCCCCTTCAGAGCCCATCTTTCTGAACTGTTGTCCACTGTCCCCGCCTCTGTCCCCACCATCCACTCACCTCTCAGCACTTGGCCACCTGGCTTTCTCTCCCATCGTCCCCCTCAACCTGCTATCTCCCCGACAGGAAGCCACAGGGCACGCTTGTCACTTGCCGTTCTTATCTTAACTGGCCTTTATTGAAGCAACACTGGGCGCTGTTTACCCTCCCTTGGCAAATTCTCGCACACCCAGGCTTGGGCTACCAGGTGTCTATGCACCGATAACCCCGTCATCAGCTTGATTTCCCAGTGGCCCAGCTGCTTCTAGCCTTTGCACACAGCGAGGGCTCAATAACTACGCATTCAATCAAACTGAAGTAACATCTGCACACGGACACGGGGCCACTAAGCTGCTCAAGGACTAACCCACTTCTCTCTGTAAGGTACTCTGGCCACGTGTATCTGAAAGGCTAAAACAAGTGTTGCAAAGTAACAGTCCACAGAGGCCAAGCGTGCAGTGCAAACATACGAAGTGGGCAGGTGCAGGAAATCCATAGGAGGCCAGGGGAGAAGGGTGGTTGACACAGAAGGACAGTAGAGACCGTTTTGGGGGGGGGGGTTGCTGGAGAGCAGATGCCCTGTCTGCAGGGGGACCCTCCGCTCCCCTCCAGCCTGTGGAACTTCCAGGTGGGGAGGCAAGCCTCGTGATGCCTGACCGACAGGCTTTCTCAAAGGACGCTAGAAATCCAGATTTTTTTTTTAATTTGAAAATGCCCTGGTGAAATGTTCGCAGCCAATTCAAAACTGTAATGGAGATGATCAATTATGAGCCGGAGGAAACATTTCTGTGAGCCGGATGGAGCCCAGCTGTGAATCTGCAACCCCCGAAATAAAGCATCTGTTACCAGCTGACACATTCATGCCACCCTGGGGTACAGTGGGGTACCCCATACAGAAGGACTTGATACGTTTTTAACTTTTAACAAGGGAACTGTGTTTGGGGCTCGTTGGCGGTTCCAGTTTCCGGATGGAAAGATGCTGATTGCCTTATTTTAAAGATGCCCTTTGTTTGAGGAAATTCACTCCATGGGCCGTTCGGTCACAGGAAGGTGGGCCCCACACAGTGTTGGGAGGGGAGAGGTGGGAAACTGTGAGTTACCATGAAACCAAATGCCGTTCCACAGACGAAAAGGTACAGGGTCTGTTGAGCTGTGCAAATTAGCTAGATCTTTACCTTGACAGCATCCTGAAAGGGAGGCAAAATATTTTCTCTAAAAAGAGTTTGATGGATTCCCGACTGTGTGTTCTTGGACCATGTGGGGATAGTGTGGTTTCTACGGAAGGAACCCACATGGAGTCACCGCATGCCCCGGTCTGGTGAAATGGGTCGCATCAGTTACTAGGAAATTGACCCCGTGGAAACAGTCAGAAATGCAAATAGACATGGAAGCACACGGTTGTTTGTTTGTTTGTGGAGCTGATCTGAAGCAACAAGGATGTCCAGAAACAAAAAAGATTTGTGGAATAAAATATATGACAGTCCCATGTTGGAATAGAACATAGCAATTAAATTGTTGAAGAGTTAAGTCATGGGAGAATGCTTATGATATAATAAGCAAAAAATACACAAAATTGGATGTAACAAGATGACCTTGGCTGAAATGAGGCGGTTTTTTTTTTTTTTTTAAGTTTATTTACTTTGAGAGAGAGAGCAAGCAGGGTCAGGCAGCGTGAGAGAGGGGAGAGAGAGAGAATCCCAAGCAGGCTCTGCACTGTCAGAGCAGTGCCCGATGTGGGGCTTGAACCCACGAACTGCAAGATCATGACCTGAGCCGAAATCAAGAGTAGGACGCTTAACCGTCTGAGTCACCCAGGCACCCCCGAAATGAGTTTTTTGAAGTCTCGATGAGGGGAGGAGAAGAAGTGTGGGCGGGTATCAGGTCGGACCGGGTGGTCCGTGCCTGTGGCACCGCTGCTCAGAACTGAACAACGTGGACACTGGGGGACGCCTAAATGCTAACTTCCATGGGACCGCCTTTCTGGGAGATGAGTCTTCTCCTGATGGAAAGGTAAATCGTACTCTTGGTCATCCTCGAAAAGGTGAGTCTTGGGGCCTGGAATGAATCAGAGCAAATCTGACGCTGGGCTGAAGGCGACCATTCTTTCTGCTTGAATTCTTTTTTTTTTTTTTTTTTTTTTAACGTTTTATTTATTTTTGAGACAGAGAGAGACACAGCATGAACGGGGGAGGGGCAGAGAGAGAGGGAGACACAGAATCGGAAACAGGCCCCAGGCTCCGAGCCATCAGCCCAGAGCCCGACGCGGGGCTGGAACTCACGGACCGCGAGATCGCGACCTGGCTGAAGTCGGACGCTTAACCGACTGCGCCACCCAGGCGCCCCTCTGCTTGAATTCTGAAGCCAGAAGATGCCTGGAATATTGTCAGAGGAGGCAGGGAGCCTGCCCTCAACCCACGGCATGTGGTGGGCAGCTCCGTTGGTTGTCTGTGTGGACCCCACCCAGTGCCCCTGGGTGTCCCAATAAACCCAATAAACCCAACGGACCCTTGGCAGCCATTTTCCACAATGCGTCTTTGCCCACTTGGCTGGCTTGTTGGACTTTGAGGGGTGCCTGGCCCAAGCTGAGCCAATCAGAACCCCGCCCAAGGAGATTTAAAATAAATACAGAGATTTCG